TTTACTCTCATAGATATAATGTAATACATTAATTGACTTGCATTTATTAAACCATCCTTGCACCCCATGGAGACATCCTACTTGGTCATGTTGGCTTCTGCACTACAAAACAAATAATGACCAGAATTAAAAAGACGCTGGGAGAGAATGTTTACCCACCACTTATCTGATAACAGGTTAAAGATCCAAAATAAATAAAGCATTAGAACTTTACAAAATTAAAACAACAATCGCATCAAAAAAAATGAGGACAAGAGAACAGAAACTTCATCAAAGAAGACATACAAATGGCAGGAAGAGACAGTGAAAAACGCTCAGCGTTACTACCATCAGGGAAGTGCAAATGAAAACGGCAATAAGATATCTTCTTACACCAGTGATACTGGCATTTCACAAAGAACAGAAACAATCAATATTGGAGTGGATGTGGGGAAAAGGGATCTTCAACCCTTTTCATCAGTTGGGAATATCAACTGGTTCCACTTTTTCTGAAAACAAGGCAGACACTTCTGAATAAAAAACCTAGAAAATGACTCCCCTGTGACCCAGCAATTACACTTCTTGGCGTCTATCCCAAGAACCAAATTCAGAAAAGACATTCCACTCGTAGCACTTTCGCGGCACTATTCACAATAGCCAAAATCTGGAAACAAACCAAATACCCAAGAACTGACGATGGATAAAGAAACTATGGTACATATGTACAATGGAATATGACTCAGAGATAAAAAAAAAAAAAGATGAAATTGGGGCCAGAGAGATAGTACTGAGGGTAGGGCATTTGCCTTGCATGCGGCCAACCTGGGGTTGATCCTTGGCATCCCATATGGTCCCCCAAGTGCTGCTAAGAGTAATTCCTGAGTGCAGATCCAGGAGTAACCCCTGCGTATTGAAAAGATGAAATCATGCAATTTGCTGCTTCATGAATGGATTTGGAGAAAATCACGTTGAGTAAAGTTTGTCAGAGGAGAGGGACAGAACAGAGTGATCTCCTTAGTATGTGGGATATAAAAATGTATAGTAGGAGAGTAACAAATGCCCAAAGGCAATAGAAACTGAGAACTGGTCATCAGGAAGAAACTTATGCGTGGGGGATCTGGGGGAAAACAGATGGGGTAGGGACACTGGCATGGTGTCCAGGGCAGCAGATACTGTGGTGGTGGTTGTGGTGCTAGAATAATTCATGCAAGAAACCCTACCATTTACAGTATTGAAAACCATGGTGCCTAAAGTAAAATGACTTAAAATTAATACTCAAAGGGATCTTTAACTAGAGAGAGAATACAGAAGGTAAGACTAGCCTTGCATGTGGCCAAGGCTGGTTTGATCTCCAGCACTGTTGTCTGGAGCACAGGGCTTATCCTTAAGCACAAAGTCAGGAGCAAGACCTGAGCAAAGCTGGATATATATGTAGCCCAACTCCCCCACCCCAAACAAATAAAGATAAGAATGCTAAATTTTAAGAAATAATTTTTATTAGCACCGTCCTCCTGTTGTTCATTGATTTGCTCAAGTGGGCACCAGTAACGTCTCCATTGTGAGACTTGTTATTGTTTTTGGCATATCGAATATGTCATGGTAGCTTGCCAGGCTTTGCCATACAGGTGGGATACTCTCAGTAGCTTGCCGGGCTCTCCAAGAGGGACGGAGGAATTGAACCAGGGTTGGTCGTGTGCAAGGCAAATGCCCTACCCGCTGTGCTATCACTCCAGCCCCTTTAAGAAATAATACAAAGAATATTATTTTAACAGTGATTACATGGTATGGGTTAGTGTTTTTCTTATTTATTTATTTATTTTTTATTTAATGAATCACCTTGAGAACAGTCACAAAGCCTTTCAGTTCAATTTTCAGTCTGTCATACAATGATCAAACACCTGTCCCTTCATGAGTGCACATTTTCCACCACCAAGAACTCCAGTATAGCCCCCACCACCACTGCCTGCCTGTGTGGCAGATTTCCACTTTTCTCTCTCTCTCTCTCTCTCTCTCTCTCTCTCTCTCTCTCTCTCTCTCTCTCTCTCTGTTGATCGCATTCAATATTACGACAAAAGACCTAACATTGTTATTTGGAATTTTCCCCAACATTCAGACCTGCCACAAAGACATCATTAGATAATTTTTTTTCTATTGCTGATTATGAAGAGCATATGATGTCGTGTGGCCACAATAGCGGCCACGCGAATTTGGATTTCTGATATTTTAGTAATAAACCTAGAGGGATTACTGCCAGAAGCCCCTGGCTTCCGAGATTGGTATGTGTGCCTCTGGGTTCATGGTTAGTCAGAGCCGAAGGAGGTGTTTGAGGGTGGCAACCCGGAGCATTGTCATGGCAGGGAGCAGAGCCAATTCTACCCCCCATCCCATGAAGCCCTATGTGCCTCGTCAATGCAGTCTCATACCTGGCTGTTCATTAGACTCTAAAAGATGAAGGGCACTATGCCACCACTGCAGAGGGGAACAGGCCGAGGGATAGACACCCTTCCCCTCCCAAGATGGCATAGCACCATAGTTAAATACACAGTCCAGATACATTTTGGTTGGGCATTATCTTTTGCTCAGATTTTCCCATCACCATTTAAGCCCGTTTTTCAGGGACAAATGCTAGATCATTTACTTTCCATTGATCACTTTGCATATCAGGAAATGTCACGTGGCCACTTACACAGCTGTGCGGTTTGGAAAATAGTCCAGGTACCCACATGCCAGAGCCATGATTGTGGAAGATCATGGTCACCGGGATTCCATCTGGAGAAGGTTGGGGAGACAGCACCTACCCCATCTGTGTCCTCCCAGTGATATCGGCTCTGGATGGGGTCTGGAGAATTCTCCAGAAGTCGTGGAGCTCTCCAGCCAGTTTTTTTCTTCGCTGCTGTGTGCTATAAAATGGCACTGGGGATGGGTTATGGGTGTGACTTCAGAATCAGAGGTTGCCTGGGAGCCAGGGTGGCCCTGTGGTGGTTCAGAAAACAGTCTTGGTACCCGCACTCTAGAGCCATGCTTGTAGAAGCTCATGGTCACCAGGGGTTAGTGTTTTTCAATGTTTCCAACCAAAGCTCCCTTCAACATTATTTCCTTTCTACGGTCCTTCTGTCCTATCAGTTGGACCCTTATTCTCATATAGTAAACTCTGTTTATTGCCTTTTCACCTGTAGCCCCCTTCAAGTATCTTGGGAGTCATATGGGCTCTGGTTGAGAGATGCTGGCATATGTGATGTTCACTCTAGAGATTACCAACGTAATCCTTGGGATTAGATCAACCTGGCCATAAATTAGTTAATCTTTCCAAGCTTTGATTTCCTTCCTTGTAAATTGGAAATGACAGTTTAATGGTTAAATTAGATAGTGCACATTAAAGAACTTAGAGGGATTAGTTCTTTTTTAAAAAAATTATTTTTATTGAATCACAGTGAGATAAACTTTCATGTTCGAGTTACAATCACACAATGATCAAACACCCATTCCTCCACCAGTGCACATTCCCACCACCAACATCCCTAGTATACCTCCCCTTTTCCAACCTCCCACTGCCTCCATGGCAGACAATATTCCTCACTCTCTCTCTCTACTTTTGGGCATCATGGTTTGCAATATAGATACTGAGAGATTAGTTCTTAGAAAGATTTTAAGAAATGTAATCTTTTTATTACTAAAAATGGTGAAAATGGTAACTTTGGAAATAATGTTTCAGATTGTTGAGGCTAAATGAGTGCTCTGTGTAAATGAGACCTGTAAGACAATATTCCTGGGGCTGGAGTGATAGTACTCCATAGTACTTACATAGTACTACATAGTACCACGTAGTATGGTGTTTGCTTCCTTGAATGCTGCTGACCCTGGTTCAATCCCTGACATCCCATATGGTACCCCAAACACTGCCAGGAGTGATTCCTGAGTGCAGAGTCAGATTAACTCCTGAGCATCACAGGATCTCATGCAAAAAGCAAAAACAACAACAACAACAAAATAAAACAATATTCCTGTGCTGACAAGATAGTACAGGGGTCAAGGCCTCTGATTTGCATGCAGTTTGACCCCTGGCACTACATATCTCCCACCCCCATCCCATGCCAGCACTGCCAGGAGTTATCCCTGGGCATAGAGCCATGAGCTCTTCAGGGTATGCCCCAATCCCCACTACCCTCAAAAGAGCATTTCTTGTTGATTACCCAAGTAGGTTTTCATTTCTCATTACCATAGCCTTGGAACTACCAAATCTAGCAAAAACTACCTGAAATTACTTGGACCTGCTTGAAAAATTGAAACAAGATGGTTAATTTGCCAATATGAAGTACTATTCTAACAGATTTATGCCTGCATTATGATCTGAATTATGTCTTTGGTCAATCACTTTATCTTCTCTACACCTGTTTAAAGTAAAGTAAGTGAAAGTCCTCCCGTTGTTCATCGATTTGCTCGAGCGGGCCCAGTAACGTCTCCATTGGAGACTTTGTTGTTACTGTGTTTGGCATATCGAATACATCGAGGGTAGCTTGCCAGGCTTTGCTGTGCAGGCGAGATACTCTCGGTAGATTGCTGGGCTCTCCGAGAGGGGCGGAGGAATCGAACTCGGGTCGGCCATGTTGGCTGCGTGCAAGGCAAACGCACTACCGCTGTGCTATCGCTCCAGCCCTAAACAATATTTGCTATCAGTGTTTAGTTCCTAAACAGTGTTTAGTAAAAGCAATGTAGTCTATTTTATTTTTAGTAAAACTAAAACAATATATTACACCTATTAGTAAAATAAAAACAATATAATTTATCATGGGGCTATGAGGATTAAATGAGTCTTGGCCAGGGTATTTTGTCATTAAACTCTCCAGAGTTCAGTGACAAATAGTGACTTTGGATTTATTTTGCTGTTATTTGATTTTTTATCTTCAGTTTTCCATTTCAAAATTGCATCATTTTTTTCTACTTGCTGTTTCAAAATTGATGATTCAAGTTATTATTTTCTTACTTTTCATTTTCCTAACACAAATTATTTTTATTTTGTGTAGGTGGCATAGAGCTGTATCTACCAATTTGGCAAATAAAAATATACTATTTCCCAAAGATGAATTGTCTAATGATAGTGACATGGAATTCCATGAAAGCCAACAAAATGAGAAAAAAAACTTGATGAAGAAAGTGAAGACCGTTTGGCGGAAGGTGCTGGCCTGCAAACATAGAAGTAAATCTGCAAATACCAATGGAGACAGTTTGAAGCACAAGGAACCTGTCCTTTCAGATTCACAGAACCTTCTTCCTAGAATTGTCAAAGAGCTTCCATCTCCCAAGTTATTTACCAAACCCAAAATAAGAAAACACTCTCAGAATGGTAATCAGAGGCATTTTTTTTATTCAGTGCTGAATTCAAGTGAAATAGTAAGATTAAAACAAATGATCTTGCTGTCCAATGTAGGACTTTTGGGGGAGCTTGTCTGAAATGCAGACTCCCAGGTCCCATTCAGGTTTAGTGAGTCAGAATCTACATTTCAGAAAGACCCCCAGGTGATTTGTATGTGCACATATGGGAATTTGTCTTTCAATTAAAACCCCGTCTAGTCCAGTGTAATCAGTCTCAAGTCCCTTTTTATTTAAGTAGTATACATACATTGGAATATTAACTTAAATAAATATAAATATACTTTTTATAAATATACTTTTTATTTAAATAGTATGCCTACATTTTAATTTCAATAGTATGCATACATTGGCCAACCCCTATTTGAATCTAGAAGTGCAACTGGTCCCCTGAGAAGTGCCAGAGGTCACTCCTGATCACCGAGACAGGAATAGCTCCTGAGTTCTACCAAGTAGGGCACAAGCCCCCTTGCCCCAATTTTATTAGTGCTAAGTTATAAAGGACATCTTATTTTATTGTGTCTATTTCCAATTGACTTTGGAAAGAATCTGTGTTCGAATTATTAGTTTTAAATCTTTTTTTTGTAACTTTTTGGAAGTGGTCCTATGAGTTATAGTTATAGTTAACAATATTACAAATATTTGAGTTATTTTTCTTTATAGCTTGAAAAATTAACAAGCCCCTTGTTTTTTAGTGTACTGTTAGGTTTGCTGGGAAAATTGAGCAGAACACCCATGCATTTCATATCCTTACCTTATGCTCACATTCCCTTACTATTAACATCTTTCAGCAGATATTGTCCCTTTAATTTTGTTTTAGTGTTAACAGGTTTGCTTTTTTAAACTTTATTTTTTTAAAAAATGGAAATTTTGTGGCTACCAAGTGCCAACCAAATCTATTTGTGTCATTTTTCTAATGGCATGTGCTCACATTTTACTTAGTGTTTCCATCTTTCGGGGATGCAGCGCTATTGGGGACAGTATAAGGTAAAGGTAAAGGCCCTCCCGTTGATCATCGATTTGCTCGAGCGGGCCCAGTAACGTCTCCATTGGAGACTTTGTTGTTACTGTGTCTGGCATATCGAATACGTCACGGGGAGCTTGCCAGGCTCTGCCGTGAGGGCGAGATACTCTCGGTAGCTTGCCGGGCTCTCCGAGAGGGGCGGAGGAATTGAACTCGGGTTGGCCATGTTGGCTGCGTGCAAGGCAAACGCCCTACCGCTGTGCTATCGCTCCAGCCCCATTATATAGTATGATATAATGTGACTTTATGCAGTGGAAAACCAAAGATTTGTGTTAGTCACATCACAGTGGTTGAGCCACAATAACTCCAAGGTCTGCCTTAATGTGGTAGATTTGTTACAGTTTATAAGTTAATATCAGTATACTGTTATTAAAGTACATAGTTTAAAGGCCAGAGCACCTAACATGTAGCCGTCAACCTATGTTCAATTGCTGGCACCCTATCTGGTCCCCTGAGCACAGAGCAAGGAGTAAGCTCTGAGCACCACTGGATGTGGATCCAAGACAAAAAATTAAAATAAAGTCCATAGCTCTCATCCAGATTTGTTCTTTCCCCTTTACAGCTCATCATATCATGTAGTAACCATTATACTATCATACCGAATAATCTCACTGCCTTAAATGATCTCTTTAATCGCCTTTTACAGTGCAAAAAAAAAAAGCCCAAACATGTACAGGTCTTATGAATAGATAAGGAATACACACATAATCACCTATTTCTCACCATGATAGGGTTGCAAAGCTAGTGAGGTTTTTTCAGAAAAGAAAAAAGAAAACTAACAAAACTGAGGGTTTCTAAACGAACGGTTGCCCTTTCTAACAAAAAGTCTATTATGGAAAAAGAAAAAAATTTAAAAAGCAGTGACTATTTCAAACATCCTAGCATCTAGCAATTACCTGGCATGACTTGACCTATTTCTGTTGAAAATAACTGAAAGGACAGTCTTCTATGCTCATCAGGCTAGCCTTGCAGAGATCAGCAGGATACAGAACCAAATTCCTCCCAATCTGTGGGTTAATATATAAATACATTTTTAGTTGGAATAACAAATTTCTCTGCTAGTATTTTCCAGGCAACTGTGCCCGTCCTTCAGACTACAGCTCAAACAGCATAATCCTGTTTCAACTGTGACTCAGTGATGGGTGCTCTTCCGTATTGATCACTTGACATATTAAAACAAGTATTGTTAACCTATGTTCAATTCCTGGCACCCTATTAGATGTCAGCCACAATATTAGATATGGAGTACCAAAGAGAACAAGCCTCGTACCCATGGAGTTACAGTCTAATTAGTCTATTGCAATGGTATGCAGAAAATTACATTTAGTCACAGGGCACTGTGGGAATATACCACAAGGGCTCTAACTTTAGGGGGGGGGGGGGAATCCTAGGAAAGTTCTCTGAGAATAAAAACAGACAATTCATTTGATATCTGAAGAGCAACAGGAGCAAAAGAGTGGGAAGGATAACACTAGGCATAATTAATACTAGAAGTAATCCGGGGCGTTGAAGTAGAGAAAGGTTGGTGAACAGGTGGTAAGGGTGTTGTAAGGCCCAGTAAGAATTTTGAACTTCGGCTGGGAGAAATAGCTCAGAAGGTTTTCATGCTAGAGGCCCTGGTTCACTCCCCAGCACTACATGATTCTCCGTGTACCACTAAGAAGAAACTCCAATAACTGAACACAAAACTAGAAGTAGCATCATCAGATATAGTCCACTTTTATTTTTTTCTTTTTGAGGCCAACGCCCTGCCCGCTGTGCTATCCCTCCAGCCCCAACCTTTTTTTTTTTTTTTTTTTTTTAAATTTGGAGGCTGCAATGACAGTATTGTGGGTAGGGTGGTTGCCTTACACACGGCTGAAACAGGTTCAATTCCCAGGTATCCCAGATGGTTCCCCAGGTACTGCCAGGAGTAATTTCTGAGTGCAGAGTCAGGAGTAAGCTTGAACATCACTGGGTGTGGTCCCAAATTGAAACAATTATTTTTAAGAATGCATGACTAATGTGTGCTAGACTCTGTAGGGAGCAACCCTGGTTTGTTTGTTTGTTTTTTTTTTTAAAGAATTTTAAACTTCCTTCTATAAGTGATAAGAAACCATTGAATAACGTTCAAACTGCAGGTTTATACAATCTGAGTAGCAACTATTTTGTTCGTTTGCTTGTTTGCTTTTTCAAAGGCCTGCGCCCAGTGGTGTTTAGGGCTTACTTCGGGCTCTTTGCTCAGAGATCACTCCTGGTGGGGCTCAGGAGACCATATGGGGTGTTGGGGATCAAACCTGGTCCATGCTGTGCAAGGCAAAGCTAGTGAGTCCCATCACTTAGGCCTCTGACTAGCAACTTTTTTGTTTTTTTGGTTCCTTTCCTCCTACATCTTCCTTCATTTAAAAAAAATCATACTTAAGGTAACGCAAGTGATTACAGTGGTGTTGGCATCTATGGTCTTACCTTACCCCACCATTGTGCCCATGAACTCCCATCCACATCCCTGTGTCATTTCCCATCTGCTTTACAATTTTATGAGACCCGGGTTGCTTGCCTTGCAAACAACTAAATCAGTTGGACTCCTGCCACCCCATATGGACCCCTGAGCTCCACCAGTAGTCACCCCTGGGCTCAGGTCAGGAGTTAGCCCACAACACAGCAAGGGGTTGCCTAAAACACACACACAAACCTTGATTCAAAAATAAAAGAGTTCCAGCTGAGACTAGCTTGGAGAAAGACAAGAGCAGATGCATGTGTAGTGGATAAACTGAATAGGTTCCTGCATTTATTCAGGCGAGGGATGATATTAGCTTGGGTTAGCATGACAGTGAAGGTCAGGAGAAGTTATGAGATTTTCATAAAAGCTAATAGTGGAGAGTGGTAAAGAACAAATCTTTGGTTGGAGCCCCCCGCCCCCCCCCCCCCCCCCCGCCATCTCTGTCCTGTCTGTCCTGTTCACTTTCCCTTTCACTGACCTGCGATACAAAATGATTGTGTAGACAGCGTGGAAATGCTGAAACAAGAGAATTGCGAACACCATTTCCCCAGAGCCCCGTAATTCCTCTATATCAAAGAAAAAGCCTCATTTTCTTCGCTTTCAAAAATTTTAACTGAAAGGGAAGTTTAGTACTTTCAGCCACCAATAACATGGTTTTGTTTTCTGTTGTATTGATTTTAGTTTCTATCTGTGATACTGTTTTTTGATTCATCGCAGAATTTTCAAGTTTAGTTTATAAGTGAGGTCATGGAGCTGGAGCAATAGCATAGTGGGTAGGGCATTTGCCTTACATGCGGCCGACCCGGGTTCGATTCCCAGCATCCTGTATGGTCCCACTCAGGAAGCACCGCCAGGGGTGATTCCTGAGAGCAGAATCAGGAGTAACCTGTGCATAGCCAGGTGTGACCCAAAAAGCAAAAAAAAAAAAAAAAAGTAAGGTCATTACATTAAGAACTGAATTTAAAAAAAAAAAGGAAATGATTGAATCCAGGTACCCCAAGAGTTTGAGAATATTTGAAAAAGTGTAAGATGGCTTATGAATGAATAGGCAAGGAGTCATGACTTGAGACTAGATTGAAACTTTCTTTCCATCAACAACAAATATTCAAAGGACTATCTTAAAAATTAGATACACTTTTGATTGCCTGATAGTCAAGAGGAGAAGCCATGGAGGACAGAAGTGAAATATCAAAGAAAGGGAGGTCATTTGGCACAGGTCTCTGAGGTCATACTCACAGAATGTGTGAGGAATTCGCAGTGTGATTTGGGAAAGTTAATCCCTCTTGTGTGTCCAATGTCCAGGGGAACAGCTCTAGAGGGAGCAGAAGATGCAGTCTTTTGGGAGTGCTTTCTACTAAAGTATGTTTATCATCATGTTCTGATAGGTTCTCCCCCCTCCCTTTCTCCCTTTCTTTCTAAGCGACTATACAACTTGATGTCGTAGAAGCAGAGACAGAGGCAATAACCCAAGGAAATACACTTCTCCAAGCCAGGAGAACCACAAGGCGGCTGTCTGTGACATCCTTGCCTTCGGGACTGCAAAAGGTAAACCTGCTCTCAAAGATGTACACAGAAGTCTGCGTTCAGGGATGTTAGGAATACCTTCCCTCCTACCACAAGTTCCTCACATTAATACCATAAAATCTGCAGAGTGTCTTCTGAGAACTTCAGGCATAAAAAGTAGGTTTTCCAGATTTGATTTCTCTGTAAAAGGTAAAGGTAAAGGCCCTCCCGTTGATCGCCGATTTGCTCGAGCGGGCCCAGTAATGTCTCCATTGGAGACTTTGTTGTTACTGTGTCTGGCATATCGAATACTCTCGGTAGCTTGCCGGGCTCTCCGAGAGGGGTGGAGGCATCGAACTCGGGTCGGCCATGTTGGCTGCGTGCAAGGCGAACGCCCTACCGCTGTGCTATCGCTCCAGCCCTCTGTATCTGAGCTCAAATTGTTCAGTTTCTAAATCTGAACACGTTACTGCTGCAATTCACTTAGCACTGCAATCTGCTCAATTACTTCTAGCTACGATTGGTTATTAGTACAATCTGGGCAGCCGTGTTTCATGCCATGGAGTCCACTGTTCAATGATCAAGTTGGTATATCTGGTCTTGAGGCCAGCTTTATGGAGAATTCACTTGACCAGCAGCACCACCCTCTGTGAAGGTCCTAGCATATATGTCGCCTGATACAACAGCTATGAATTGCTTTGAGACTTTAAATCATGGCCACTGTGGCAGAGGAATTAACATTTTCATTTCATCTTAGTCTAAATTAAAACATAGTTAATGTCATACACATGTATGTTAATACTGCATAAATACAAAGGCACCTATATCATATAGACAGAACAGCATAAAATGACCTAGGGCTCTCCAAATCAAAGGTTGTACTGATCTGTAATCATTAAATATGAGGCTAACTTGCCCACACATTAAAAAAAAAAGCTATCGTTATTTTAACTTTATCAAGCATTTACCTAAAGCTGGCTCTATTGTAGGCCCTGTACGTGTTCTATAAATCTCAACCCAGCTAATCCTTACAATAGCCCAAGGAGGTAGGTGGCGACGCTATCCTTATTTCAGGGATGGCACTGAGAGGTTAAGTCATCTGTCCAGACGAGTGACAGAGCTAGGCTTCAAACACAGGAACACCTAACTCTAGACTCATTTCTCTAAATGACTTAACCAAGATACTAATTTTATTGTCCATCATGATAGCCAATAACCACGTGTAACTATTTGAGGTGATTAAAATTAAATTGAGTCCTCTGCTGTACTATCTGCCTTTTGGGAACTCAAAATCCACATGTCAGAGGGCTGGAGAGATAGTATAGTTGGTAGAGTACTCCCCTTGCCCACAGCTGGCCTGGGTCCCATCTCCAGCACACTGGAGTGCTGCCAAGCCTGCCAGGAGTGATCCCCGAGTGCAGAGCAAGGGAAAGCTCTGAGCACCACCAGGTGTGGCTCCCAAAACAAAAACATTAAAAAAAGAAAAAAAAAAACTCCCACGTGACACCACAGTTTCCACAAAGCTATACTGAACAGCACTGCTCCAGAAATCAATGTCAGAAGGTGCCAATATTTTAGGTTTTGCCTCTTCTATGCTACGTTCATTATATTCCTATTGTGCTTGGAAATTTCTAGTTAGGGGACTATGAAGGTAGCCAATGTACATGTTTTGTGGAACTTAAATAGAGTAGATGTAAAATAAGGCCAGGGGCCGGTGTGATAGTAGAACAGACAGGGTGTTTGCCTTGCATATGGCTGACCGGGGTTTGATCTTCGGCTTCCCCTTTGGTCCCCGAGCACCTCTAGGAGTGATCCCTGATCACAGAGCCAGAAGCAAGCCATGAGCACAGCGGGGTGTGGTCCAAACGTAAAAATAAATGAATAAATAATTTTAGTTCATCAGGGCTGGGGATACAGCTCAAAGTGCTAAGAACACGTCTCATATGCGATAGACCCAGAGTTCAATGCATGGCACTGTGTGCCTCCTCCCAGCACTGCTCGCTGCAATCCTGGTAACCCCTAGTATCTGAATCTGGAGCGCTGTGGAACTAGGTCCAAGCACCGTACCACTCAAACCACTGGGAGTGGCTCCCAGATCCTGCGTATTGTTGGGTGTGGCCCCTATAAAATTTCATTTATCATAAGCCTTGCATGTGGCTGACCAGGTTCAAGCCCCAGCACCCCATATGGTTCCCCGAGCCCCACTAGGATTGATTCACAACTTCAGTTAACAGGGAAAAAGCGCTGAGCACAGCCAGGTGTAGCCCAAAAGCCAAGAATAAAAAGTCTTTCAAATAAAAAATGAGAATTTTCAGTTTTCTTCAGGAAAAAAAAAAAGGATAAAATTTGGAAACACTAAGGCTGTAAGGTCCAGGGCCACAGCAAAACAGCAGAGGATGTCTTCTTTTAGGAAACATATCCCTTCCCTCCACACATACTCCACGGCAACCATTCATTCCTTTTTCACACAGCCGGCCTGGCCCTTACCCATCTGACTTTGTAATTGTTGTTCAACAACCACAGAAATCACGTAGTAATTATCAAGTTTGGCAATTGCTTAGTAGGATTAAAAACAAACCTTGGGTTTGAGAGGTAAGTCTAACTTCAGATGGATTTGGGGGGAGATTCAGTAAGTGCTTTCTAGGCAAGCTGGAAGTTCCATGGAGATGTGCCTGGGGATCCTTATTTTGTGCAGCTCCTACAATAGTCCTCACGCTAATCCCTGAGCACAAGGGAAAGGAAGAGTGAGCCCAGTAAGCCTTAAAGACACATTAGCCAGGAGCCATGACCTAGCAGTGATTTCCAATAGCAACACTATTAGAATAGGCACTTAGACCTAGCAATCCAGGGATGACAAGGAAAATCACTGAGCACTGGGTGAAAAGAACCCAGAGACTTCATTTTTTTTGTTTGTTTGTTTAGAAACATGCCTACCATGAAAATAAGGAAAGCTGGTAATGAGATTTCTGGGGCACTCGTCCACAGCAGCTCTACTCTCACTGTACTTAGCAGCCCAGAAGCAATTTCTTCCCTTAAAAATGACCTGCTTTTTCTCTTTTTTAATGGTTCCCCCACTCCTCCCCCGCCCCTGAACGAGACAGTCTCATTTCTCTGCACCCTGTAGATCTCTTCAAAGAGTGTTCTGGGCACAAAGGAATACATGCAGTGTAGAGAATAATGTGAATATGCTTTCCAGTCGACTGTTGTGAGGTGGCAAACGTTCAGTTTATAAGAAAACGTCCCTAGGGTGAGAACTGTTATTGATGCCCTATCACAGAAAAAATGTTTTTTTTTTTCTAATTGGATGTTTTTGTCCTTATGCTAGGTTCCATATGCATCGAAAAAGAGGCCACACTTTTCAGCACTTAAAAAAAAGAAACGTAACATGGAAAAGATCCTCCAAAAATCTGATTTGACAGTAGGAAAGCTTCAAATGCAGGTACTGGACAAAGGTTTTTACTTTTGTGTTTCAGAAGCAAAAGGTTAGGCTAAACTGGATGCATGGCTGCTAGACAACACGGACGTGGGGCAAAATTAATGATTAGCATTACGAAATAGCATTAGTGGGGGGCATTCTGAGTAGATAAAGAATTGCGAAGGGCACCTAGGATAATGCTGTGCGCCTAATAAATATTAAGTGGATTCAATTAAAATGAAGGCAAGCACACAGGGTCCTTTTAAGGATAAATGAGATCGTCTTTACCACTAGGTGGTAAATGTATGTTTTCAAGCTCTGTTTGCTATGATTTGAATTAGAATAATACTCTGGGACTTGCAAAATGTCTACCAATTCCTGAAGTAACAGTTCAGGCTCTCAACTAACAGCCATCACTTTTGTTTTCGACAATGCTTTTCAATACATGGCTTCATTTCTTTTTATCTGTTATAGGTAGATGATCTCATAGAAACAGTGGCTGACAAGTCCATGAAATTACTGGCCCAAAGACATGCTGAGCTTCAACAGTGTGAGTGTCTAGGGGATGAAATTCTTCAGTCTTCGAAACAGTTTCAGAGGATCTCCAAAAGAACTATGAGGAAGTATAAATTGAAAAATGTATGTTTCCCATGTACTTGCTGCTGCTTCTGATTGTGCTCCCGATAACACAAAGTTGCTTTTAGAGGGATTTTTATCTTTTGGTTCAATCCTGAATGCATCTTTTAGTGAATTAACTAATGGGGAATGAAAGAAAGTTTTAGAGTATTCTGCCTAATGAATTCTTAGAAAGTACTTTTAAGGGGCCTGGAAGATGGCTCAAGGTCTTAAGATACTTCCCCAACAAGCAGAGATTGAGATTTCCAACTCCAGTGCCCTGCCAGCACCATGGCAGTTCTGATGGCCCTGCTGTTAGGGATTCCCCAGCAACAAAGGGCCTAGAAGATGGTTCAGTGGCTTAGAAAGTGCAGAAGGCAACGTGAACATACCCTAAGCTTAATCCCCAGTGCCAACCACGCACTTGAAGTGATCCCGACCACCTCTCGGTCTATGGTCCTTGAGTAGGGAAGAAGAATAACCTTTGTAAAAATTGATCTTTAACTGTCAATATAAATAAAATTTTTTCTTTATGATTCCCACTAATGAAAGAAAAATAGAAATGTTTACTAGCGCATCACAATTCTGCAAAGAAATTTCTGTAATGACTTGCCAGATGAAATTAGAGGAAATAGTGGAAACTATTAGGTCACTTTTAATTTGACTACTATTGAGCTTATTTTATACTTTAAAGAATTCTTACTATAATTATAAAAATGTAAGTGTAAAGGATTAGTGTGAAGTGTCATATTTCTGGGCTACAATAAATGGATAGGATAGAACCTGACAAGTATTCAACAAGCAATTCAATACTTATGAAAACTGAGTGACTCGGCACTAATTTTATAAATCTTTTCATTTAACAATGATCAAGTATCAAGAAAAAATCTAGAAAGTGATGCATACCGATTCATTTTGCATCTTTTACAACTCTTTTTTATTTCTGGGCTGCACCCAGTGGAGCTCAGGGCTTATTCCAAGTTCTGTGCTCAGGGATCACCCCTGGTGGACTGGGGGGATATCATCTGAGGTGCTGGGGATTAAACCCAGTTGTCTTATGCAAGGTGAGTGCTATACCATCACTTCAGCCCACCTCCACAGCTTTTATTATGCAACCTCTTCCATAACGGGTACACATCACAAACATTTTCCACATAATTTCCTAAGTTTGCAGCTCACCTGAAAACCATTTATTGACTCCACTTTTACAGGTAACAATAATTTCCAGAATGGACTAATTTTCTCATGCATACCCCAAAATACCACCTTTAGTCTTCGACTTATTTTGTAAATAAATTAGTGCTACCCATTAAAGACTACCTTAAATACTAATAAGCACAATGATATTTGATTTGATAGTATTTTATTATATTTGAATACTGTTCTAACCTTCATATTTAACAAAAAAGGCAGTACCTTAACAATACGTCTATACTAATTTTTCTCCATGTAAAGGAATATGACCTGTGCATTAATTAAAAAGTGAAGTAAGTAGCTTACTACCAAGACTATCTCAAAAGAGCACAACAAATTCTAACACACTAAGATCATATTACTATTTCAATATTTGTGGGAATGGTGAATGATCATGGTTTAGGATCTGTTTCCATGCTTGTTCCTTGAGCTTCTTCCACTTCTGAGAGCTTTTCATCATCTGCAATGGAGAAATAAAGCTTTACTTCAAGTGGCTTAAAATATTTAAGAAAGTTTTGGTTTTATTAGCCAATACACTTAAAACAAAGACAGCGAATTGACAATTTATGGTTATATGCAGTCCATATATAAATATTTGATTTCAAACATGCTACTTTGATTTTTGCTCATTAGTTTAACCAAAATGTAAGTTTTATTTGATAGATTTCACTAAGAATTCTAAATCTTATGGCTTTCTTCAAAGTAATCAGATGAGGTAACACAAATTTCCAACTGACTATACGGTCAGAACAAAGAGAAAGTCTCCAGTTTTCCAAAGAATCAGTCACCATTAGGAGTATGCAGATGTTCTTATGTACTGATTATTTCAAGCTCTTCACTTCAATTCTGAACTGTTAATTTATAATAGTAAGCAATAATACTCCCCCTGGAAAATTACAGATCTATCACCCTTGAATTTATCGTAATTTAAACCACTGATATATCACTAAAAATTCAGATAAAGTTGGAAATGAATCCCTTCTTATATCATCCAGTCATACTTCAGTTCTGACGCTGAAAGCCTCTCTTTAAGGTATATATTTTAAAAGGCAGGCTTCTCATTTAAAACTTCTCTAAAAGGTTTATTATGAATACCGTTACTTACTTTCCAGTGTTTGCTGCAGTTCATGGATGGTACTAAGAAGAACATGAAATTGTTTCCGTCTCAATTCCAGCTGTATTAACAAAGAATAATTAATATATACCAATCTATAAACATATTTAAAAAACAAAAAGGCTAACATACATATATAAGTACCTTATCTTCAACACTTTCTTTAATGTGTGAAAGATGCTCTAATTCTTTTCCCAGAGCTTCAAGTTCCCTGGAAAAAAAAAAGTGCGTAGAAGTTATATTTTCAAAAACTGGGAAAGGGGAAAGAGACAAAACTCAAATTTAATAAACTCTTAGTAACTAAATGGTATTTTTAAAATAAAAAAGGTTATAACCTCCATTATGGAGGTTTTTTTTTTTTTCATTTGGGATTTTTGGGCCATACCTGGCAATGCTGAGAGTTTACTCCTGGCTCTGCCTGCTGGAATCATTCTTGGCAGTGCTCAGCAACTATACTTAAATCATGCCAGGAATCAACCCCATGTGGGTCTTTTAAGCTAATTTTTCAACTTTGGGGGGGCAGAGTGATAGAACAGTGGATAGGGCGCTTGCCTTTCACGTGAGCAGCCTACTTGAGTTTTTGACTCTTGGCATTCCATCAGGTTCAACGAGCCCACCAGGAGTGATTCCTGTGTGTAGAGTCAGGAGTAACCCCTGAGCACTGTCATGTGTGGCCCAAAACAAAACAAACAAAAATTCCATGATTTCTAAAGATATTTATTTTAAATAAAATAAAGTTTTCAGATTTTTTTTTTTTTTAAATAGGGGCTATCCCCAGTGTTGCTGAATGGACTCAGGAACCACTCTCAATAATGCCTTGATCACTTGATATCCTGTTACTCATTGATTTGCTCGAGTGGGCGCCAGTAATACCTGGCCTAGATAAATTTCAAGTACAGATAGCAGAACAGCAAAACCCCAAATTGGTAACTGTTAACAATTTGTTATACACAAAGCCTTTTTATTTATTTTTTTAACAACAACAACAGTAAGGAAAGCAAAACGGCAGACCAGATAATGGCAAAGTTTCCTGCTAATGTACAATAAAAAAATCAACTGAGCAACACACGAAAAGAGCTGAATCCATTCATAGCCAGATTTGTCTGAGACACATACACCCAGATATCTCAAGTACCAAACCTGGAAACCCAGAACTGATTAATGAAATGAACCCAGATTACCAAGGTACACAACAATTCTTATAACTATGGGCAGACCTTGACTTTACAGGAGGAAGAGCAAGACTACAGAAATAATAGTCCAGCATTCAGACAGGTGAAATATTGTGCTACTGGCACAACCCAAGGCCCAGAAGAAAAAAATAAATCACTGAGTCGGGGGCACAAAGGGAGAGCATAGTGGCATAGTCCACTCTGCAAGCATGAGGACAAAAATTTAATTCCTAGTGCCACCTTCATGTACTGAGTGTTGGCCTGGTGACTCTATGGTTTGGGACCCTGGGCACAATTTAGTATGCAATCTCCAGAATACTATAACTGCGTGTGTGGAACTATAGCAACTGAAGTGTGCAACCCACCGCAAGCACAACAAAAAGATGCGTGAGCACCATGGCTAGGAGTACAATTCTAGGCAAGCATATATGAGAGAAAAGCATCCTCGGCAAGGACGCCAAAAAGTATGTGTGTAATCGTGACTAAAGGAATGTGACCCCTGGTAAGTACCATCATCAAATGTACTGACACCTGGTCATCACAAAAAATATAGCTGCTCCCTCAAAAAAAGGGGGATAAGGGGGAAGGAAAAAAAACTTAACCCTCCTCCCTCCCCCAAATTAAAGGAAATCTTGGTGTGCAGCTGCTGAGTCCTTTCCTCTCTCCACCATGGGCAGTTTAGCCACTGATACTCAGCTTGAGACTATGACACTAACATAGTCTTGCTGCAAGAACAGGAGCTGTAAGTGGCTCCATAGGCCAAGGCCAAGGGCACTTTGTATATTTCTGAACGTTGTCACTTCTTGTTGGATTTTCTTCTTGGATCTATATATAATATCCATCTTAGTCTCTTAATTTCTTTTTAAGTTAAAATAAAAAACATGAAATGCTCATGAATGCAAAGAATAAACATTTTACAAATCACCATCTTATCTAATGCAATCTACAGATTAAATACGATTCCCATCACAATGCCATTTTTTTCTATTCATTTATTTATTTTGAATACCCACCCCTCCACCAGTGACCATTTCCCACCACCGCAGATCCCAGTATCCCTCCCACCAACCCCGTCTCTGTGGCAGGGCATTCCCTTTTGTTCTCTCTCCCCTATTGGGTGTTGTGGTTCGTACAAGAGTTAAGCCTGATTTTCAGGGAGAAACGTTGGATGATTTACTTTCTATTGATCACTTTGTATGTAGGGAGATGTCGCGCGGCCGCGTAAGCTGTGGTTTGGAGTCAACAATGCCATTTTTTATAGAACAAATCATTCCAAAAGGCTAAATGAGAGAAAAGAAAACTTAAGGCATCATGAGCCCTTGATGTCAAGCCACATTATAAAATAGTGACTAAAACAGTGTGACACTGAAACAAAATAGGTAAACAAAGCAATAGGACCCAGAAAAAAAGCCTATGCATGTACACATCCCATCTGTGATGAAAGAGCCAAATCCATACAATACAGGGAAGAAAAGCACAAATGGTGCTAGAAAAACCGGACTGAAACATGCAAAAAGGGGGGGAGGAATGAAAACAATTTGATTATTATTTAACACCATACACAAAAGTTAACTCATAATTGACTAAAGACTTAGATAGCAGATCCCAAAGTTCCCAAAGTATGTGGAAGAAAACAGTGACACTCCTGGGCTTTGACATCAGAGATGTCTTGGAGACTTCATTGGCAAGGGGGGAAAAAAATCAAGAATAAACAAACAGAACTATCATCAAATTAATAAATTTTTATAAAGCGAAAGAGAATCCACCACAAAAACAAAAGGACAATGTGGCTATTAGGAGACTTCTGCATGTAAATACCTAACATTTATTTAGATACATATATAAGCAGTCATACCACAAAAGTCAACAATAACAGCAACTAAAAAAAGATGCAAGAACTAAAAAGGCATTTTTCAAAAAAACACAGAGAAGTGGTGGTGGAAAATGGGCAGTGGTGGAGGGATGGGTACTCGATCACTGTATAATTGAAACCCAAGCACAAAAATTTGTAAGTCTACAACTGTACCTCATGGTGTTTCACTAATAAAAATTAAAAAAAAAAAGAGAAATAACCCATAGCATATTAAAAAAACCCTCAACATCACATAGAAAAGGAAAAAATGTATGTATAAACAAAAGTTGTACATTAATATGTTTAATACTATATATTAAGGGCTGGAGCGATAGCACAGCGGGTAGGGCGTCTGCCTTGCACGCAGCCAACATGGCCGACCCGAGTTCGATTCCTCCGCCCCTCTCGGAGAGCCCGGCAAGCTACCGAGAGTATCCGATATGCCAGACACAGTAACAACAAAGTCTCCAATGGAGACGTTACTGGGCCCGCTCGAGCAAATCAACGATCAACGGGGGGGCCTTTACTATATATTACTCGAAAATACAAAAAAAAAATATATTAAAAAAGGGTTGGAACTGTATAATAATTGTCAGAATCAAGTAGAGAAATGAAAAAGGTCTGGGACAGAGGAGTTAGGATAAAATTCAAAGATATTTGAATGCATTAGGTAATTTTGAATATCCTCTTCTTCTGAAACACACTATGCATTCCCATAAGAATATGGCGCATGGGCCTGCTCTTCAAGCCCTTGAATCTTGTTTGCAAGTCTCCATGTCTCTTTACCTGTCGCTTTTTCAACTCTGGAAAAGCCCAGGTTCTCTCTGGAACAAATATCTCCCTCTTCTTCTCTCCTCACATCTTTCTAAGTTTTGTTCAATAAAAACTATCTTGCTTCACTAAAAAGTAAAAATTTTTTAAAAAAGAAGAAATTGTTTAATCATGGGGCTGGAGTGATAAAACAGCAGGTAGGAGCACCCAGGTTGGATTCCTGGCATCCCATATAGTCCCTTCCCTTAAGCACCACCAGGAATAATTACTCAGTGCAGAGCCAGGAGTAAGCCCTGATCATCGCTGGGTGTGGCCCTAAAACCTACCAAACAAACAAACAAAGGAACAAAAAAACAGAACAAAAACAGAAGTTATTCAATCCCCTCCCCCACAGTATTTCTTCAAAAGGAAGCTTTGAATCTACACTTTTGTTTTTGCTTGGGAGCCAGGTCCATTCTCAGGAGCCACAACTGGCTCTGTGCTCAGGGGTGCTCAGATATGCAGTGCCAGGAATTGAATAGTGACTGGCCACAAGCAAGGCTTGTATTATGTCTCCATCAAACTTACTTCAGTGTTTCATGTCTGTCTGGGTGATGCTGGATCACTTTCGCCAAAGCATCATATTCTGAAAGAGAAAAAATCAAATAAATTAAGGTTTTCTTTCCACGTGCTTGGATTATGAAGTCAAAATGTCTCCTAGACATAGATTGAAATATTAAAAGAGCACTGCCAATTTCATTACGCTCACTCCAACTGTAATGATATGATTCGAAAGGTATCCGAACAGGGGAGCACGGGACATAGGTCACAGGGCTGGAGAACATGTTTTGTGAGTCAGATTCTTTCCCCACCCTACGGTTTCTCAGCACCACCAGGAGTGAGCAATCCAAAGCCACAACCCCTCACACCACCTGGTATGGTCTCTGCACTGAAGACAGTAAGTGCTCCAAAGGAGGACTTTAGATCTCCCTCCCCCCCCCCCCCCATTACTAATCTCTGGTCAGAATAAAAAGTAAGAATTAGCATAGCACTGTAGCACTGTCCTCCCTGTTATTCATCGATTTGCTCAAGCGGGCACCAGTAGTGTCTCGCAACAAACTGTGAGACTTGTTACTATTTTTGGCATATCAAATACGCCATGGGTAGCTTGCCAGGCTCTGCTGTGCGGGCGGGATACTCTTGGCAACTTGCTGGGCTCTCCAAGAGGGGCCGAGGAATAGAACCTGGGTGAGCCGCATGCAAGGCAAACGCCCTACCCTCTTAGTATTGATCACCAAGAAATTGTGAACTGCACCTATTTGCGACCTGCACAGGATAAAAAAAAGTCTATGTGTGGTATGAATATATAATTCCATTTATTTAAGATCTTGGACATCAGAAAAATAATACTTTTAATACTTTTCATTTATAATGATAAAAATTTCAGAGAATTTAAGTTAATTTAACCATCTTTGCTGATTAATCATAAAACTGTTGAAACAAACAGATCTGTGTACAGTAAAAACACTTAAAATAAAAGAGAACACCTAAGATCCAAAATAAAATAGTCAATACTCAAGAAAATCAGCATGTTGCAGCAAAAAAAATCTAAGCAGAATCTTCCCTCTCTAGTTAAATAACAAATTTCAAAAATTAGCTTATCTCCTAATTCTTTTTTATAGTTTGGGTTGACTACAGCTGCAGATTTTCCTTCACATTATTAAATATTGCATGAGACGACTGGTCAGTAATAAAGTGTTTGCATAGTAACTTCCACAAAACCCTTACCTTGGCGGTTTTTCCGTATTCGTTTTGCTTGAAGAATCTGCTTTTTGCACTCAGCAATTTTTTCATGTGCTCCAGCAATGCTACATTCTGTATAAAATTTTTAAAGATCATTATAACTTATATAATCCCCACACATTTTCCATCACAAAATAATTGAAAATTAAGTTAAAATTCTGATTAAAAAGTTATTTATAAAATTGTTGTAACACAGAATACTGTTACTTTGTTTGGGGCCATACCTGGTGGTACTTAATATTATCCTGGCCCTGTGCTCAGGGGACCTTCATGTGGTACCAGGAACTAAAATGGAGCTGCCAGGAGCAAGGCAAGGGCATTACGGGCATTACCCTCCGTGCTATCTCTTTGGTTCTTAAAACATTTTTTGTTGTTGTTGTTTTGGTGGGTCACACTGGCCAGTGCCCAAGCCCTATTCCTGGCTCTGCTCCCTGGGTTCACTCCTGGCAGGACTTGGGGGAACCATATCAATCAGGTAATGGGGATTTAATCTGGGTGGACCGCACAGCTCCCTACCCACTGTGCTCTAACTCCAGTCCCGAGATACATTTTTTTAGCTAACATTTATTATATGGTTTCTATAAATATTATTGCCATTATTTTACCACCAAATTGTTAGCAGATATTGGTTACATAAATAAAAATTACACAAAATTACATAAATAAAAATTACACAAAATTACAGAAAATATAATTAGTGCTTTACCTATTTCCTTGTAAATTTTTTCATAATTTTCCATTTCCCTGAGATTCATATCATATACCAGCAGTGTTTTGCCCATTGAAAATTCACATTGGGACAATGTACTTAGCATACGTTGATACTGGCTATATCTAGTGTAAAAAAAGAGAAACAAAATTAAAGATTTTTTTGAAATGCCAAAGTTAATTACAGTTCAGGAAAAGATTTGCTAATTAAGTTATACCAATTACACTAACTTCTAACTGAATCATTTCCTTTATTTAAAATAATTTTGATAGCCTTTTCTTTTCCCTTGTACAGAACACTTCAATTTATAGATGGCTTCCGTTACAGACAGAATTCTGGTCCTTATTAATGTAAACTCAATTCAAACAATTATTTACTTTTATTTTAAGGTATTTTTAAAAGTGTTTTGATTTATATTTTTATCATTAATTATTTTCTATTAGCTCATTCTATTCTAGTTGAAAAACTAAATCAAATGAAGAAAAATGTCCAAATTTGAACATTAGAGAACATATTAAACCTTGCAGTAACGTTATTTACTTATTAAAGAAAAGAAAATTTCATTTAGATTCTTTTTTTTTTTTTTTTGTGATTTATTTGCTTAAAGTGACCAGATTGTCAGTCTGCATTGCCATTTGGCCTTCTGAACATTTTACTAAATGTTCAAGCCTTGTAAGGCCAGAAATAAAACCAGAAGTACCTATTCCTCATTAATAAAGAGATGTTTCCATAGGACATTTAAGGTAAGTAAATATTATAAATATTAAAAGAACAATAAATTATAATCTAAAATCACATCTGGACATCAGCTTAGAAACAACAGGGAAATAAAATACCCTTCTTCCTGGGATCCAGAATTGCACCATTTAATGAAACTTTTCACAAGCAGATTAATTCTCCGGTCATCTCCAGCACCATCTCCATCAATCAGGAGACGCTTTCGTATGACTTCGTCTGGAGGAAAGGAAAACATCAAAATGACTGTCTGGTTCTTGGTAACTGGCTCAGGGGAAAAATATAATGCATTTATTCACCCAAAGAAATCATTGAGGAATAAATGCTTTTAATGCCACAGTTCTACTTAAAAATGATTAATTTTTATTATACAAATTTCACTTATATACATATTTTCACTTATTTAACATATATAAAGTTATTGAGTCTCTACTGTGTATTCAGCATCACTTTAAGAGGCTGAGGTCTGTTGTGAAAATCTTCTGCCTCACAGAATGGGTATTCTACTGAGTTATTTAGCAGAAATAAGAGATATTGTCCCTACAATTCTGTTCAGACCTCCTTGAAACCAGGATGAACTCCCCTCCCCAACACACACACACACACACACACACACACACACACACACACACACACTCACTCTCCTCTGACTTCCAGAGGTCCTGGTAGCCACACCCATATCCTGTTGCAACCGTAACTGCCACTCAACTGTCACTCATCTACCGCCCTGTTCTAGAGACTCATAAATGAAACTCAAGAGATCCCATTCCTGGCTGAGATCTCCAGAGTAATCTTGGGAGGGGGGGCTGGCCAGCTCCCACCCTATCAAAGCTCCTCCCACACACCAAAGCTTTACCTCTGAGCTACATGTTCAATTCTATTTCATTCCTTTTCCTATTCTGCTATGTAACTTTTAAATTTTTTTATTTATTTTAAACAAGTTTTACTAAAAATTTTATTTAAAATTTCCCTGGCCGGTCTGTCCAGTTAAATATTCTGGATCTTCTGGACATCTCTAAACTCTACAATACTGACAACCCAGTAGTAGCACACCAGATTGAATGGGATGTAACAGAGAAGTCAACCAATCTCAACTAACAAAAACATTAACACAGATGGCTTAAACTTACAACAACTGCTTAGTAAACTCTCAGACAACGACTTAATGTTCCCATGGCGAGATACAACAATTTTCAAGAAATTTCTTCAACTGAAATAGTTTTTGATCATTCCATTAGCCATTTAGTGTCAACAAACAATATAAAATAAATTATTGTGGGCCTGATGTAGGCGTAGGTTTGAAGGGTGGTTGGAAAATGGAGACAATGGGGGAAGATGACAGTGGTGGTGGAATTGGTGTTCAAATACTGAATGCCTATAATAAATCATCATGAACAATTTTGTAAATCACAGTGTTTAAAATGGGGAAAAATAATAAATTCTGTCCAGAGAGAAGGGAGTCTAAAGTTTTCATATCTCTGGACAACTGAGGTAGTAGTAGAAGGAATAGAAATAAATATTTAAAAATTATATACCAGAGTAGGAAAAAGAATGAGATAAGGCTGGAGATATAAGTCCGTGTAAAGTTCACACCTTGCATGCAAAAAGCCCTGGCTCTGAGCCTCAGTACAAAAGGAGGGTGGTTTCAGGGAGGGGAGAGAGAAGAAATCAGATGGGAAAGAAAAAATACATCTCTAATTTAATATTTGCTACAAGGGACAAAGGGGATAGAAAAGCATTGCATCCTAACTGCGTCCTGAGCTGGTTGGCCGCGAGACGGCTAAATACACTGAAAAGGTGGGGAACATGGGACGGATAATGGCGCCTCCCTCTGGATGATGAAGAAAATCAAAGCCAGCCAGTATGCCAACTACACATGCTCCTCCTGCGGCAAGACCAAGATGAAGAGACGGCCGTGGGCACTTGGCTCTGTGATTCCTGCATGAAAACTGCAGCAGGGGGCACCTGGACCTCCAAACCACTTTTGCTGTCACAGTCAAATCAACCATCTGAAGACTGAAGGAAATGAAAGACCAATAGATCTGCCATCTGAAGCACTGCTAGTCTATAATAAGTGGGTTAATTTATGTAAAGAAAAAACAGAAAAAGAAAAGCAATGCAGACAACAACAAACAATAAATCAGGCTCAATTTGCTTAGCTGGCACCTTGACCCGGTGTGTGTTAACCTGGGGTTGGTGTGTGTATGAGAGAGAGAGAGAGAGAGAAAGAGAGACTGTAGGAGAAATATACTACTACTCAACCTCTACTGTAAGGTTGGTAGCCCTGACAACTCCTTAATTTTTAATGTAGCATGTTATAGATGTTTCCTGGCCCCTAAAGGAATAAGGAGCAGGCATTTCCACATGCAAATTAAGCTGGTGTTTTCGATAAACAAAACGCTGGGTCATAAAAGAGAAAGGCAAAATAAAATATAAAATACATCGTTTTTACCCATCAGACTGGCAAAGATCTAAAGATCTGATAATAAAAGCACTAGCAAGACACTGTACTCATATACAAAGATGGAACGTAAACTGCTACACTGTTGGGCAACTGGGCAATGGCAAATGATATTCAAACTGGACTGCAGGGAGGTTTCAAATCCCATTAATTCTAGGAACTCTCTATATACACCTGCACTCCGTACAAAAGGATAAATTAAGGGGACACTCAGAACAGTGCTGTTAGTAGCAGAAATGACTGCAAACCTAAGCAGTCACCAGTAAGAGACCGCTTAAGAGAAACATCCATGGGATATAATCTCTCCAAAGCCAAGAGAATAGTTAAGACTATACATACTGATGTCCTTGCCCTTCTCTTCCCTGCTCCAATCTCTTTGGTCGTGTTATGTCAATGAAAACAAAACAGGTACAAAGAAACACAAAATTAACAATAATTTGTGTAGAAAAGGGGGAGGCTGCTTTTTTGAGTGTAAGTGCAAGCAAACACATCATATACATATGTTCGCGTATCTTCAGAATTCTTTCGGAAGGATGTCCACGGAATTGGTAATGGTGGTTGTTTCTGGTCATAGGGACTAAAGATCAAGACAGAAAAAAATAATGTAGAGGAGTTTTTTGGTTTTTTTCTTTTTAAATCACGTATATACATTGTTTATTTATTTTTGGGCTCCCAAGCAATGCTCGGGGGACCTGGGAACCATTCCCTGTGATTCTCAGCCATCCTGGACAGTTCAATGCGGGGTTCGAGAATGGAGAGATGCTTGGGTCCTGGAGTGCTGGGGACAACTAGAGCCACCCCAGCAGTGCTCAAGGGGCATCCGGGGTCACACTTAGTGGTGACAAAATTGGAGACAAGTGGCGGAGGGGTTAGAAGTCAGACCACAGTGAATGCAAAGCATGCAACCCTAACACCAAGCTATCTCCTCAGCCTGTTTTTTAAAAACAAATTCTAAAGTGTGAATAATTCCTGGAGAGCCTGCATGATGAATCAACAACAAAATCTTTAAACAATAGTTCCTGTGTGTAGGCAGAAGAATCTTTGAGCGCAGGTGCAGCGGAGATAAACTTTGGAAGGCAGATGGCTCCAGTTATGAAATTCATTCTGTGACATCAAACAGACATTTTTAGAATCTGCTTTTTCCTCAGTCATGGCTCTGACAGGCTCCTGAAGCTATCGGTTCGTCAGGTATTTTCATTTTATACATTTAAAACACAAACAAATGTCAGTTTAAAGCCACCAATAATGTTACCCGAGCAAACAAAAAATTTAAGAAGAGATTAAAATAGAGAAAAATAATATTTCAAAACGAGGAACATAATTTAGCTTTGTTAAAAGTAAACATCTAGGTTCCACAGAGATTTCACAGCAGGTGAGATATCTGCCTTGCACACAGTCAACCCAGGTTGATTGCCAGAACCACTTCTGGACCCCCACACCCACAGGTGTGATACCTGAGCACAGCAGGGTGTGGTTCCAAAACAAAAGAAAAGTAAACATCCCGGGGCTGAGCAGTCTGTTGGCAAGCATGGCCTCTAATATTCCCTTACTGTTTTCAATCTCTGTTACTACAAACCACAGAACCCCCCACCCCTCGCTATTCTCCAAGATACCTGTGCTTCCTACTCGGGGTCTAGAAATTCTGAACATAAATGCACAGAATAAGCAGATAACATCCTAGAGAAACTTCAGAGTTACCTAACTAAGGTTAGAGCTAGTTTTTCAAGAGATTTCTAAAGTTTGATGAATGACTGAAAATGCTTCAAACCATTTTATGATCATTCTGGCTATACACTTTTTTTTTTTGGCTTTTTGGGTCACAGCTGGTGCTGCACAGGGGTTACTTCTGGCTCTGCACTCAGGAATTACTCCTGGCGGTAGCTCAGGGGACCATATGGGATGCGGGGAATTGAACCCAGGTCGGCAAGGCAAACGCCAGGCTATACACTTTAGATGTGCTCTTTCTGGTTTTGTTTTGGGGTCACATCCAGTGGTGCGCAGGAATAATTCCAGTTGGGTTCAGGAGCCCATATAGAGTGACAACAGTTGAGTCTAGGTTGCACATATGCAAGGTGAGCACCCTACTCACTGTACCATCTCTCAAGTGCAAGATTTGAGTACTTTTATATAAAACATATACAATATCCCAACTTAAAATGTTTTTCTAAAATGTTTAAAATACTATATAGGTCCGATAAATTTGGAGGAAAAGTTCAGGATGGTTAGTCCTATGCTGTGTTCATTCTGTTTCCTTCTAATTCTCTCATTATGTCTTAAAGTTCCTGAAACTCAACGAATAATTTTAAATTGGATCCTTTAGTGCTTATCAAGAGTCTCTGTCTTCCGAAGAGCTTTGTCTCAGTAAAGCCTAATAAGGACGAGAAGGCAACTAACTCTCTTACTTCCAGGGCAAGAGCGGTGATGTTTATATTTGCACAAAACACATGCACATTGATCAGTGAGCAGATGTAGTCAAAATGTACTAGGGGAATTTATGAATCTAAGGTATGAAAGATGTACCGTTTGCTCCAGGTGGAGACATGAGCAGATTACGTTTGTTACATTAACTCTCTCCCTCTCTCCCTCTCCCACACACAGACACACACAGAGGTTAGTGTCCTTTCACTGGGTGGGACCAGGGAAAGTGGAATTCGAGTTCTTTTGATACACGATAATCAACAATTTAGAAAGGGATAAACTATCAAAATTCAAATAACAGCTTTTCATTCACCATTTCTTTGGATAGGTTTACATATGT